AGCTATCTGGCACTGTTGGTGGGATCCCAGCTACCTGGCACTGCTAGTGGGATCCCAGCTATCTGGCACTGCTGGTGGGATCCCAGCTACCTGGCACTGCTAGTGGGATCCCAGCTACCTGGCACTGCTAGTGGGATCCCAGCTATCTGGCACTGCTGGTGGGATCCCAGCTACCTGGCACTGCTGGTGGGATCCCAACTCATCAGTAATGTCAATGTGTGATGGGATCTCGACTAATTTAATTTATAGAAGAAATCACGTCATGGTTAGCCAGGGATCCTGGCTATAAATATATTAGGAATCTATATACTACACAAGCATTACACTTTTAACAATAAAACACGTGATTAAAAACGTGAAAAATGCCACAGTGAAAACAGGAAATAAAACCCGAGAACTTTCACGTGCTTACATACATCTTCAGAGGAATAGAAAGACAAGAGAAGCATATTGTATATGTTAAACACTGAGGTGACACCTCACTCGGAGGTGATAACACCTCACACAAACAGGTGTTGTCATCTCGGAGATGTCACCTCAGAGTTTAAACATATAAAATGCGCCTCTCTGGCCTCATCTTCTCTGCTGGGTCACCACACAGAAAAGACCCGGGCCGGGACCCGTCCTGGCGAACCTACCTGTACCTGCCTCGTCTTCCTATTCCTCTGAAGATGTGTAATTACATGAAAGCGCTCAGGTTTTATTTCCCACTTTCACAGTGGTATTTTTTTTCAAGCTGATCTATATATGAAAAAAATCAATTATTTCGATTAATTGAAGAAATTATTTACTTGTAGGTTACCTGTTGTCGCTTTCGGGGTCAGCGCCCCCGTGGCCCGGTCCCAGACCAGGCCTCCTGGTTGCTAAACTAATCGATCAAGCTGTTAGTGCCTGCGCCATCCGCAGTCCAACATGTACACCACAACCTGGCTGATCAGGAAATGTATTTGAGGAATTTGTCAAATTTCCTCAAGAAAACAGCTAGGATTTTGCTGGTAATTTCCTTTATGCACGATGATGAGTCGTGGTTCCTCTACACTTACCGGGCTCTCTGTATACTCATCACTTCCCTGCTTTTCAACGGAGGTATCAAGCACTGTCTGCCAAGCTTCTTATCATATATAATGATTTCATTGTGCAGACTTGAGACCACTCAATTCAATATCTTCCAGGTGCACATTACAATGTATCTTTCTCGCTTATGTTTCAAGGAGTACAATTCAAGGGACCGTTTTTATACGAGCGGTGAAAGTTCTCTGAACATTTTTCAGTTCTGCAATTTCTCCTGCCTTGAAGACGAACCATTTGTATATAGCAATATTACAGCCTAGAGAGAACGAGTGACCCGAAGAGTGTCATCATTATTTTAAAGGTTCTAGTTATCCGACCATATTTCTTCCAGTTGTGATGATAATATTGTCCTCCGTAAATGTGAGACCTTCTTGCATTATCACTCCCAGGTCTCTCACGTTAAACTAATACAATGCTGAGTGATTGATCATCTTGATGGTACTGGAATGGTATGCAGTACCATCAAGATGATGAATTAGACACAAGTGCAAGATCTGGGTATCTTTATTTTGTAGACGTTTCGCCAACCAGTGACTTCATCAGTACAACACAGGGTCAGGAGCACAATACTGAAGAGGAAGAAGATGAGGTAATCAATCCCTCAGCCTAGCAACCTGGCAACAACATCCTTGAGTGGGTATTAGTGGGCATGGCACTCGTCCATTGCCCAGGTCTTACCCCCACACCCCTACCCGAACCTGCACACTATCACTCACGCCCATTACTCTTGTCTGGTTACTGCAGTACTAGCCCACCTTGCCTGCCCACACTTGTAAAAGGCATCCACCGCTGCACGCCCACGACCCACCACTCCCCGCCCACGACCCACCACTCCCCGCCCACGACCCACCACTCCACGCCCACGACCCACCCTACCCTTGCCCACGACCACTACTCCCCGCCCACGACCCACCACTCCACGCCCACGACCCACCACTCCCCGCCCACGACCCACCACTCCCCGCCCACGACCCACCACTCCACGCCCACGACCCACCACTCCCCGCCCACGACCCACACTCCCGCCCACGACCCCACCACTCCACGCCCACGACCCTACTCCCCGCCCACGACCACCACTCCACGCCCACGACCCACCACTCCCCGCCCGACCCACACTCCACGCCACGACCACACTCCCCGCCCACGACCCACCACTCCACGCCCACGACCCACCACTCCACCGCCACGACCCACCACTCCCCGCCCACGACCCACCACTCCACGCCCACGACCCACCACTCCCCGCCCACGACCCACCACTCCACGCCCACGACCCACCACTCCCGCCCACGACCCACCACTCCACGCCCACGACCCACACTCCCCCCCACGACCACCACTCCACTCCCCGCCCACGACCCACCACTCCACCCCACGACCACCACTCCACGCCACGACCCACACTCCACGCCCACGACCCACTACTCCACGCCCACGACCCACCACTCCACGCCCACGACCCACCACTCCACGCCCACGACCCACCACTCCACGCCCACACCCACTACTCCACGCCCACGACCACCACTCACACCCACGACCCACCACTCCACGCCCACGACCCACCACTCCACGCCCACGACCCACTACTCCACGCCCACGACCACCACTCACGCCCACGACCCACACTCCCCGCCCACGACCCACCACTCCACGCCCACGACCACTACTCCACGCCCACGACCCACCACTCCACGCCCACGACCCACCACTCCACGCCCACGACCCACCACTCCACGCCCACGACCCACCACTCCACGCCCACGACCCACTACTCCACGCCCACGACCCACCACTCCACGCCACGACCCACACTCCACGCCCACGACCCACCACTCCACGCCCACGACCCACCACTCCACGCCCACGACCCACCACTCCACGCCCACGACCCACTACTCCACGCTATAAATATAAAGATATACTTATATGAACCAGATACATTACAGTCGCTGCGCGATCCCAAAGAAATATCCCCGTATTGTATAACCCCAGCCCCCTCTACCTCAACACACACACACTACTAGAATAGTACAGAGTCTTCAACACATACTATCAGAATAGTACAGAGTATGGAACACATTTTTAACGCAGTAACAGTTAACACCGAAGATTTGAAGTGAATTAGAAGAAACGTTAAGTCATCATATGGAATATCACATTTTTTAAATAAACTAGTCAAAATAGGACATGCATAGGTCTAATCTGATTCAAAGTTTTTATTAAGCAATAAATCAGGTTAAATTGGACATACATAGGCCTAGTCTAATTCAAAGCTTTCATTAAGCTTGAAGCCGGTCAGAAGTTGCATCAAGTTGATCAATGTTCCAACACTGATCAACTTGATCAGTGTTGCAATACTGATCAACTTGATCAGTGTTGCAATACTGATCAACTTGATCAGTGTTGCAATACTGATCAACTTGATCAGTGTTGCAATACTGATCAACTTGATCAGTGTTGCAAGGTTGATGCTAATTTGGACGATACAGACTGAAATTATCGCACGAACATAAGAATTTAAATTTTCCCATTTCTTCCACGAAAAAGCAAATATGGGCCTACACAGGCCGTAATAAATCCAAACTTTTCTCTAGAAACATTTGAAGTTGTCGTAACTACTGAGTTCATCGTGAAATACTTGACGATATCCAGGTAATCCAGGTATCCTCACTGCTCTACTGAAGTCTCCCAGCTCAGGCTGACAGATCCCATCAGTTGATGCAAGAAACTCGTCCTGTGTGGTGAAATATGGCGGGGAAACACACCTACCTTTATTTCCTGCTATTATATAACAGAAGGTAACACAGCTTTAGTTACTATCATATAACAGAAGATAACACAGCTTTAGTTACTACTATCATATAACAGAAGGTAACACAGCTTTAGTTACTATCATATAACAGAAGGTAACACAGCTTTAGTTACTACTATCATATAACAGAAGGTAACACAGCTTTAGTTACTACTATCATATAACAGAAGGTAACACAGCTTTAGTTACTACTATCATATAACAGAAGGTAACACAGCTTTAGTTACTACTATCATATAACAGAAGGTAACACAGCTTTAGTTACTATCATATAACAGAAGGTAACACAGCTTTAGTTACTATCATATAACAGAAGGTAACACAGCTTTAGTTACTACTATCATATAACAGAAGGTAACACAGCTTTAGTTACTACTATCATATAACAGAAGGTAACACAGCTTTAGTTACTATCATATAACAGAAGGTAACACAGCTTTAGTTACTATTATATAACAGAAGGTAACACAGCTTTAGTTACTACTATCATATAACAGAAGGTAACACAGCTTTAGTTACTATCATATAACAGAAGGTAACACAGCTTTAGTTACTATCATATAACAGAAGGTAACACAGCTTTAGTTGCTATCATATAACAGAAGGTAACACAGCTAGCTGTAGTTACTACTATCATATAGAAAAAGGTTACGGAATACCGTTGGTATACCAAATTTAATATAAAGAATATATTAAGCGTATTAGGCACGAGTGTTTATGATGTGAGAAGACGGAAAGAAACTGTAAATGAAAACCAAATATGAATCTGAGGCAGAGGAACGTTAGTAATAGGGAAGGAGGGTTAGGTCAGCGGTTTACGCACTGGCCTGGAGTTTTACGACTCACTAGCCATGGGTTCTAACCCATCCGTACCCTGGTTTGTTTACAATCGTGTTATTATGATTTCGTGAGTCGTGACTATCTGACGAAAGGGAGCTAGGAGACTTTGAAACAAAGTTATTATTACTATTTTTATTGGGAGGCTGAGGGAACTCTGCAAGGGTCTGAAGTCCCCATAACACCGCCCCTGTTTAGGAAGCACTGTTGTCAGTCTTTGGTCGATGAACAAGATGGAATGCACCAGATACGGAAATACAAACGTGTTTCCTACCTTCATTATGTACGTGTTCAGTGTGGGGAAGGAGGGCAGGTTCCTGCGTCTGCACTAGGTGCCAGTCCTCCCCACTGCTACACAGGTCCTCTTCAGGTTCACACAGCGGAGGCAGCTCAGGGGGGTAACAGTGAGTGATCTCGGCAGCTGTAACACAGATTACAGCTGCTTCACAATCAACGTCTGGTTCGCTGTTCGCGCCGTCGTTTTCGTTGTCTTCGTCGGAGTCTGAGTCGATGTGCGGGATGGAGTCAAGAATGCTGGCGACGGATGCCGCAAGGGTCGTGGTTCCCCCCGGGTCATCAGTGAGGGAGGCTGAGGTCGCTATGTAACTGTGGGAGATGTCTGATGCTGCCTGAGGGGCCCCACCCTCACTAGTGGTGGAGGCTGGTACAGGGGCCCCACTCTCACTAGTCGTGGAGGCTAGTACTGGGGTCCCACCCTCACTGATGCAGGAGAAGGATGCAGAGACCCCACCTTCACTAGTGGTGGAGACTGCTGCAGGGACCTCATGAAGACTTGTAGTGGAGGCCAGTGCAGGGACCTCACCAACACTAGTAGTGGAGGCTACCACAGGGACCTCACCCTCACTAGTGGTGGAGGCTGGTACAGGGGCCCCACCCTCACTAGTGGTGGAGGCTGGTACTGGGGCCCCACCCTCACTAGTGGTGGAGGCTGGCACAGGGGCCCCACCCTCACTAGTGATGGTGGTTGGTACAGGGGCCACACCCTCACTAGTGGTGGAGGCTGGTACAAATACCTCACCAACACTAGTGGTGGAGGCTACCACAAGGACCTCATGAAGGCTTGTAGTAGAGGCCGGTACAGGGACCTCACCAACGATAATGTTGGAGGATGGTGTAGGAACTTCACCTTCACCACCACCACTCCTCGCCTCGGCAGGATTATCGTACCTGTATATCAAAGTTTCCTCAGAGACTGACCTGGGAACACCACTCTTTCCTAAGGCGGCGTTGTCACTGGCGTCAATCACCAGACTGGGGTTTAATATTACACTAGTATTATCCTCCTCGCTGGAGCCTATACTTCTCGACGCTGCCGACAAGAGACTCTCCCGAGAGGCCCAGGCGTTAGATTTGACGTAAGAAACAATTTTGGCACAAGCTAAACTAGGGGACTCATACAAGTCGTCAGGCTCGCTCTCCACCGGCACTTTTTCCTTCGCTGTTATTTCACTCCGTCTCCAAGTCTTGCCGTCTCTCGCCGCACAATTACAGGACCCTGGAGGGCGACACTCCAGCGCTAGCGATGCTCGACGGTGTCGTAGGAAAGTCTTGTAGTTACGAGTTTCCATCTGCGGAGCGTCGGGTGTTGACAATGACCTTAAAAGTATCTTGTGAACGGCAGGAATAGTAGAGCCACCAAGATCCCGGGAGGTGGAGCCGTTGACTATATCGCGTCTCCTGTGACCGATCACTTTGGACCTCAAATAGCGATACTCTTGCTCCTTCCATTCTATTGTTTGGCACGCACCAAATGCCTCCTTCACGTCATCCAGGTTCCCTCCAGCGTCTCTCTGGCCTCCATCACCATCTTCACCAACCTCCAGTGTGTGGCACTGAAGTGACTGGTGCTTCCTGCCCTCTAGAGCAGCTCTCACTTTCTTCAAGACGCAAGTCAAGTCTGTGGGAGACTCACAGGAACCTGCCATGCTGTTCATCTACCATAAACACTCTACTTTCCATTGATCCACAGATAATTTTCTGGCACTAAAAGTAATCGTTTTTACGGCTATTTTTATTCGTCAGGTAAACACCTGACACAAGTTTTCGTCATAAGAACAAATGAAGGTAGGGGTAGCCGATGGTCCTACGACGGACCACCGCTGGCTTACCCGTGTTGATCCCAGTGCTCTGAGTAAACAGCCGGAAGCCGTTTTTTTTATATCCAGAGACGGACTGGTAAGTTGGCTTTCCTAGTCATGATGTTGCCTGCAGGCTGCGACTGCAACTACTGAATGAAGATGAAGACTTAATTCGGATTAGCAACCTCAGGATAACCTCACGATAACCCATGGAAGCCAATCACTCAGGCTTGTTATGGTTGGGGTCCTATTTTGATCCTTCCTCAGGATGCGACCCATAACAGTTAATTAGCTCGTAGAGTCTATATTTACAGCTACGTAACAGGAACAGCTGGTGTTAGAGGTGCCCATGCATCTCTTCTCTCACAAGGCTCCACCAGAATGGAATGGCTGAGTTACCAGGCAGGTGACCTGGATGGCCTTACATAATCCACCTCTCACCAACCACACACACCACCTGAAAAATAAGACAAAACAGATTTAGTCCTGACCATTCATCAAGAAAATAAATTAAACAAAAATTTTTACAGGGTGAAATGAATCAAGAATAAAAACATGAAGATGATAACACAGGTAGAGACAGGGAGGAGAGATCTGAGAGAGAGAGAGAGAGAGAGAGAGAGATAGAGAAACAAGAACCTAATAGTGTTAACAAGAGTAAGCCTGAATAAATTTACGAGGTATTCAGGAAAACCGGTTAGCAGGACTTAAGTCCTAGAGGTGGGAAGTACAGTGCTTGTACTCTGAAGAATGGCTGGGGAATGTAGGAGAGTTATCTGAATTGAGAGTCCCGATCACTGCTGGCTAACCAGTTATTGAATGAATGATGGTAAAAGTGTATCATTCTTTGAAAGGGTCGAGGAATACAGGCATATGTTTACACAACGCCAAATAATACATTCACACACACACACACACACACACACACACACACACACACACACACACACACACACACACACACACACACATATTTAAGAAAGGAAACAGAAACGAGGCACTAAACTACAGACCTGTGTCTCTGACATGTATTGTGTGCAAAGTCATGGAGAAGATTATCAGGAGGAGAGTGGTCGAACACCTGGAAAGGAACAAGATTATAAATGAAAACCAGCATGGGTTCATGGAAGGCAAATCCTGTATCACAAACCTCCTGGACTTTTATGACAAGGTAACAGAAGTAAGACACGAGAGAGAGAGGTGGGTAGATTGCGTTTTCCTAGACTGCAGGAAGGCCTTTGACACAGTTCCCCACAAGAGATTAGTGCAGAAGCTGGAGGATCAGGCGCATGTAAAAGGGAGGGCACTGCAATGGATAAGGGAATACCTGACAGGGAGGCAGCAACGAGTCATGGTACGTGAAGAGGTATCACAGTGGGCGCCTGTTACGAGCGGGATCCCACAGGGGTCAGTTCTAGGACCAGTGCTATTTTTGATATATGTGAACGACATGATGGAAGGAATAGACTCTGAAGTGTCCCTGTTCGCAGATGACGTGAAGTTGATGAGAAGAATTAAATCGGATGAAGATGAGGCAGGACTGCAAAGAGACCTGGACAGGCTGGACATGTGGTCCAGTAACTGGCTTCTCGAATTCAATCCAGCCAAATGCAAAGTCATGAAGATTGGGGAGGGGCAAAGAAGACCGCAGACAGAGTATAGGCTAGGTGGACAAAGACTACAGACCTCACTCAGGGAGAAAGACCTTGGGGTGACCATAACACCGAGCACATCACCGGAGGCACACATCAACCAAATAACTGCTGCAGCATACGGGCGCCTGGCAAACCTGAGAATAGCGTTCCAATACCTTAATAAGGAATCGTTCAAGACACTGTACACTGTGTATGTTAGGCCCATACTGGAGTATGCAGCACCAGTCTGGAACCCACACCTGGTCAAGCACGTCAAGAAGTTAGAGAAAGTACAAAGGTTTGCAACAAGGCTAGTCCCAGAGCTCAAGGGAATGTCGTACGAGGAAAGGTTAAGGGAAATCGGACTGACGACACTGGAGGACAGAAGGGTCAGGGGATACATGATAACGACATACAAGATACTGCGGGGAATAGACAAGGTGGACAGAGATGGGATGTTCCAGAGAGGGGACACAGGGACAAGGGGTCACATCTGGAAGCTGAAGACTCAGACGAGTCACAGGGACGTTAGGAAGTATTTCTTCAGTCATAGAGTTGTCAGCAAGTAGAATAGCCTAGCAAGTGAAGTAGTGGAGGCAGGAACCATACATAGTTTTAAGAAGAGGTATGACAAAGCTCAGGAAGCAGAGAGAGAGAGGACCCAGTAGCGATCAGTGAAGAGGCGGGGCCAGGAGCTGAGTCTCGACCCCTGCAACCACAATTAGGTGAGTACAATTAGGTGAGTATACACACACACACACACACACACACACACACACACACACACACGCGCACACACAAAATGCGAGAAATCACTTGGATATTCATTATTTTTCATAGTGGTTGTTTTCCATATTCTAATATCACCCGTTTACTGTGAAGATCTTATTGTATATATGTATGTATCATATATATGTATATATATATATATATATATATATATATATATATATATATATATATATATATATATATATATATATATGCGCACACACAATACAGTCTCAAGCGTTTGTGTATTTGTCTGTATTCGTCAGAAGGTGGAGAATTAAGGAGAGTGTTCAAGAAAGTGACTGTAAGGTTGAGTGTGTACTTGACATTTAATATGATCATGGAAGGTATATGCCAAACTATCAGGTGTACTTGTAACCAAGCGTAACTCTGCTCCCTGCAATATATGCTGGCTCTACTCTCAGTGATCCGCCGATAATCCACTGATCTACAAAGCTTTCTATTTGTATTTCCATGACTCTTATTAGATGATTTATGTACAGTGGTAAATGTGTGTTAATTTAGTGAACACAAGGAGTGATGGAGGCTCCGTTCTCCGTATCTGAGACTAACAAACTATATGTCTCACATTTCTAAGATGGTGGCTGACGGCAGATATAATAATAATAATAATAATAGCATTACTAGTAGCAGTAGTAATAGTAGTACCCGTAGTAGTAGTAGTAGTAGTACTACCACTTCCACCACACCAACCACCACGACCGCTACACCAACTACCACGACCACCACACCTACCACCACACCAAACACGACCATCACACCTACCACCACACCAAACACGACCACCACACCAGCCGCGACCACACCAACCACGACCACCACACCTACCACCACACCTGGCACGACCACCACGATCAACACACCTACCACGACCACAACCACGCCTACCACGACCACACCTACGATGACCACCACACCTAGCACCACCACTACACCTACCACCATCACCACTACAACTACCACACCTACCACCATCGCTTCACCTCCCACCACCACCACTACACCTGCCACAACTCATTACATCTCTTCCCTAAGTTTTAACATCTGCCACAACGCCACATCACCCTCAACACCCGTCACAGTACCTCAACACCCGTCACAGCACCCTCAACACCCGTCAAAGCATCTCAACACCCGTCACAAGCAATATCCCCTTGAAACGGCCCCCATTAATATTTTTCCTCTCCCTTTCTTCCTCCCTGGAGTGCAGCTTAGCTGCTTCACCTGTAGCGGAAGCCAGCGCTTGAGATTACCTGTTTATCAGGAAGGTAGCGAGCTAGGGAGGGAGGGTAGATGGAGGGAGGGTAGACGGAGGGAAGGAGGGAGGGAGTGGGGGAGGGAAGGAGGGCAGAAGAGGGAGGGAAGGAGGGCAGAAGAGGGAGGGAAAAGATGGAGCATTATAGGGAGAGAAAAGATGGATGGAGTATTACATGGAAGAGGAGGAAGACAGAGATACACACAAAGAGAGAGACAGAAACAGAGAAAGAGACACACAGAGAAAGACACACAGAGAAAGAGAGAGAGGAGAGAGAGAGAGAGAAGAGAGAGAGAGAGAAGAGAGAGAGGAGAGAGGGGGAGAGAGAGAGAGAGAGAGAGAGAGAGAGAGAAGAGAAGTTATCTCACACCTTCAAAACTTTCACTTTTTTATCCATGACCTGAAAGAGATGTTTGGAAACAATTTTAGGCCAGTTAACCTCCCCTCCCACACCACCACCAACACCGCTACCACCATCACCAACACCACCATCACACCAACACCACTACCACCATCACTACCACCACCATCACTACCACTACCACCATCACTACCACCATCACCACCACCACCACTACTACCACCATCACCACCAACACCACTACCACCATCACTACTACCACCATCGCTACCACCACCAACAACACCACCACCATCCCAAACACCAACAACACCACCAACAACAGCAACACCATCACCAACAACAACACCAACACCACCACCACCACCCCCAACACCAACAACAGTAACACCACCATCACCAACAACAACACCAACACCACCACTACCTTAACCAGCAAGTCATGGCATACAATTCTCCTAATTCTCTGGAAAACGATCTTAAATTCCAAGACATTAATTAACAGGTTGCACAAATCTTCACCACCGAGTGAGTCATCCAGACTCATAACTGCAACCATTTTTAAATGTCTTACAATCAACAGTCTTCAATTATTTATCTCCTGTGTTCCGTCAGAAATTGAAAAAAAAATATGTAAATATATGGAAGTGAGAAAACGTCTCGACAGCAGGTGTTAGTGTCGATGTAAACAACGTGGGCAAGGTGACAGTGTTGATGTAAACAACGTGGGCAAGGTGACAGTGTTGATGTAAACAACGTGGGCAAGGTGATAGTGTTGATGTAAACAACGTGGGCAAGGTGACAGTGTCGATGTAAACAACGTGGGCAAGGTGAGTGTCGATGTAAACAACGTGGGCAAGGTGACAGTGTCGCTGTAAACAACGTGGGCAAGGTGACAGTGTCGATGTAAACAACGCGGACAAGGTGACAGTGTTGATGTAAACAACGTGGGCAAGGTGACAGTGTTGATGTAAACAACGTGGGCAAGGTGACAGTGTTGATGTAAACAACGTGGGCAAGGTGACAGTGTCGATGTAAACAACGTGGGAAAGGTGACAGTGTCGATGTAAACAACGCGGACAAGGTGACAGTGACGATGTAAACAACGCAGACAAGGTGACAGTGTCGATGTAAACAACGTGGGGAAGGTGACAGTGTCGATGTAAACAATGCCGACAAGGTGACAGTGTCGATGTAAACAACGTGGGCAATGTGACAGTGTCGATGTAAACAACGCGGACAAGGTGACAGTGCCGATGTAAACAACGTGGGCAAGGTGACAGTGTCGATGTAAACAACGTGGGCAAGGTGACAGTGTCGATGTAAACAACGTGGGCAAGGTGACAGTGTCGATGTAAACAACGTGAGCAAGGTGACAGAGTAAGAGAAGACAGCAGGTGTTAGGCACCTTAATA